TGGGACATTGTGCTGTGCACCAGAAATTGACACATTGTAACTAGTGGTACTTCAATATAAAAAAAGAAAAGTATATAATAAAATACCATTTGGGTAAAACAAGCAATGATGAAACCTTTCTCTGTAGATATTCTCACCCCACACTCTGTGTAGGATTGTCTGAGTGTGGGGACACAAATGGAACGCCCCGGAGGTGGTTCTGCAGGGAGCATGGCCAGAGACTGATGTAGGTAGAAAACGGACAGGGGACGGGTAAGCCAAGCCAAAGAGGGGAAGAAATGAAAGAATACCAAATGCGTACACGTTTGTGTACCTTTATGAAAAGGTATGTACACTGTATAGATACATTTATAAAGAAAAGATGCGAAAAGAAAAGCAAGCAAAAAGGAGGCTGCAAAGCCACGCAGCTGACATCCAATAGGCTCCCAGTGGAGAGAAGACACCCCTGTGACCACACTGTCTCCGGGGCAGGTACGAGCTCAAGCTGGCTGTTCCTGAAGGGAAGCGAGTGGTACTTTACCCAGAGAAGGACGAGCCTAAACACATCCTGAACATCAAGAGAGGCATCATTTCTGCCCTCCTGCTTCCCCCGGAGACAGAAGAGGCTAAACAAGTGTTATTTCTGGTGAGAAATCTCGAAAGCCAGTCAGAGAGGCCCTGGTAACTCATCTTCACATATTGTACATGGAGTGGATCACTGACTCTGCTGCGTGCGTGGCGGGTTACACAGGAGGCCCTGTATTGGTGTGAAGCACCGTGCCCGAGGTGCCCCCTGGGCTCTGGGCCCACTGAGGGACCATCATCCCAATTAGCCTTCTCAGGTTGGGTCTACTTTTCAGCCAGTTTTGGGGGCGTCCTGATCATGCTACTCCTTTGATTTTGTTTTATTACCACAAGGCGTAACACAGTAAATAATTTTGTTTTTAAACACAGAAAATAATTCAATCTGTTTGCCAGGCTCTTTTAAGAATTTCAGGTTTTGATCTGAGAGTTAATTCTATTGACTTCCGTCCCACGAGCATTTTTGAGCCCTTACTGTGTTCTGAGTTGTGTACGGCGCTGTGCTTGGAGAACACAGAGCTGCATCCTGCAGAGGCCTCTCCTCGGGGATCGCCAGAACCACTCTTACCTGGTTTTCTCGCCCCAACTCTGGCTGCCCAGGAACCAGCAATGCCCACACTCTGCCCAAGAGGATGCAACTTTCTCCTAAATCCACGTTGCTCCTGCTTTTTCTCCCAGGTTCCTTTCCCAGCCCCACCCCAAGCTACGAAAGATGTTTCCCCAAGTTGAATGCACCTGTGGTATCTTCTGCTCCCATAGGATACCGTGTATGGAAACTGCTCCAGTGACATTACCGTTAAAACGAGGAAGGGAAGTGTGACAACTGAAATATCCATCGAAAGAAACCTGGAGAAGTGTGACAACTTCCAGCCCATTCGCACAGGAGTTAGCCCGCTTGCTTTGATCAGGGGCATGGTACGTTTCACATCCGCACTGCTGCTCACACTAGCCGCAGCCTCCTCATTATTTCAATTCTGGAATGTTAGAGGTAGTAGGAATCTCAGAGAAAACTTCTAGGCAAAGAAAATGCAAGGAGCAGCAGCATGTGAAGTGTTCATGCGTGGAAGGACAGGCATGTGTAGGATCTCAGGTTATATATACTTTGTGCAGGATTAGGGGTCCATTGGGGTGGAATAAAAAGCGTCAATAGCTTAGCTCAGCTGGGGTATGCCGAGTTGCTGCATCCCCTTGTCAAAAGCTCAAGTACCAAGCTCTCTTCTTTAACTGAGTTTACCCAGTGGTACAGAACTCCCATTCCCCTACCCTCTTCCCTGAAAGTAAATGCCTTTGGCAGGAGTCTCAGGTCCAAGCCCCAGGGACTGATGAACATGCTTGTTCCCTGATCTCATTCATAGACCCGCCCCTTGTCAACCCTGATTGGCAGCAGCCAGTCCTGCCAGTACACCCTGGACCCCGAAAGCAAGCATGTGTCGGAAGTCATCTGCAAGGAGCAACACCTGTTCCTGCCTTTCTCCTACAAGTAGGTCACCTGCTGCACCCCTACTAATGGCTCCGGTCATTTATGGGGTCGCTGTGAGCTGAATGCTTCTCAGATGCCTGTTCAAAGCTAGGCTGTGCCTGGGAGGGGACTGTGAAGAGATGCAAAGCAGAGCCCATCCCCGTTTCCCCTTTTCAAGTTAACTGGCAGTTTGGTAGGAAAATCTTAGGCGTGCAAAACAATTTGAAACCAACACAAGATACCTGAGACCCAGATTTAAGGGCTGTAGATGAGGAAACACTGGGCATCAATGGCAGGCTGCCCTGGTTAGAAAGGCTTCGTGGAAGATTTAAGAATTGGACTAGAGAATTGATTATCCAAATCCATTTTGAACCAGGTTGGTCAACTAGTATTTATTGAGTAACTGCCACATTCTTGGCACTGTGCTGTGGGAGATACAAAGGAATTTCGAAGCACAGTGTTTGTCCATTCCCTCTGGGCACTCCAGAATGGCGGGGGGTGTAAAGTACATGTGTCCTTCTGATGGAATGACAGCCAGCATGACCAGAAGGAGGTGGTGCTGTTCACTGGGGAGCCAAGGACAGCTGGGTTTACCTGTGGTTTGAAAGGTGAGCAGGACTTGGGTAGAAGCGGAGATGGGAGAAGCGCTGGACATGAGAAGAATGGAGCGCCCCCGGGAGCTGGCCCTCCGGACATGATGTGCCTCCTTTGTTACCAGGAATAAGTATGGGATGATGACACAGGTTTCACAGACTTTGAAACTTGAAGACACACCCAGGATCAACAGCCGCTTCTTTGATGAAGGTGAGACTTTATGTGCGCATGGTGACTGGGGCAGGGAAGTCTGTCCACGACGTACCCACCATGGCTGAGCTCCTTGCTGGGCCCTGTGAAACGTCACGGCTCTCGAGGTCAGCCTGTGGGCGATTCTGGTGAGACAGTATATTCGTTTCATAAGTTCAGATGGCAGCGGGGTAAAGGGAAAGGAGGAGCTCCCCACAGCTCCCGCGTTTTTGTAAGCAGGAAACTGACCCCCTAAGCCTTCCTCTGGTAGACCTGACCGCCTCAGACACCCCGTGACAAGGCTGAAGGAACGTTAGAGATCTCCAGACCAGCCCTAGCCCTGCTCTGGCCTTGTGTTTGAATCTTTCTTATGCCTTACCTTATCATTCTCAGCAACCAGTGATGTCATGTGGTAGCATCGTGTGCTTTTATACCCATTCTACAGAGGGGGAAATGACGCAGAGGGGCTTAGTCATGTGTTATAGGTCACAGGCTATCGGAGGCAGTGCAAAATGGGCCTCCAGGTCTCATCTAAGCCAGGATTCCTTCTCTTGCGTGACATTTCCATGCTGACTTCATAGGTGAGAGCAGGACGAAGGAGGGGACACAAAAGGGTCTTCCTCTCTCCCACAAACTGCCATTAGACCCAATTGGACGAAAGGATGGGTGAGCTTCAGTGAGTCTAACCACAGCTGTAGTCACCGCATGAGCAGCAGCACCTCCTCACCAGCTCTTTCAGGCAAAAGGGTCATCTGATACCTGATTCACACAAGCCTGGATTCAATTCCAGCTCTGCCCGTCACACCCAGAAAGTTCCTGGGCTGGGCGAGTGTCTCACCTCTGGGTTCCCTTGTCTTTAAATAGAGGAATACTGCCACCCACAGGGAGAGTACGATGAGTCAGTGAAACACAGAAGTCAGACACTGAGCACAGGATCGTTCTCTTTCCCTCTCCCCTTTGCTGACCCCTCCGCAGCCTCCAGTTTCCAGTAGACCGAGCTGTGGCTGAGATGTGAAGGTAAGCCGGAATCCCTCTGACACGCCCCTCCTTCCAGGTCCCGAGGCGGTGGGTCTTGCCTTTGAGAGCACCAAGTCCACGTCACCTCCAAAGCAGGCAGAGGCCATCCTGCAGACCCTCCAGGAGCTGCAGAAACTGCACGACTCCGAGCAGAACGCCCAGAGAGCCAACCTCTTCTATAAACTGGTGACCGAGCTGAGAGGCCTCAGCAGTGAGGCAGTCGCATCCCTCTTGCCAAAGCTCATCGAGGTGTCCAGGTATTTTTTTACCCATCACATCTCAGTCTCTCACAGGTTATAAATTAATCGTAGACAGCTCAGACCTTGGCCAAAGAATCTCAGGGACCATTGAAATTTCAAGCCAGTTAATCAATTACTCAATCAACTAACATTTGCTGGACAAAGAAATATCAATTAAGATGTCTCAAGTTCCATGGGCAACACACACATACATACATTGCATCCAAGGTAGATAAGTATTTGTGTATTAAAATAGGAGGGAAATATTTCCCACATTTTGATGCGTATCTTCTAGTTCCTAGTCCTATTAGGGGTACCCTGGAAAGTTTGAGAGGAAAAGAAGTCTGCCTTCTGGAAGCTCGTAGGCTAGAGGAAAGAGAACTCAGGCAAACAATACAGTGACTTCTCTTTACTTCCATGCGCTGGCTCTTAGTGCTGTGAAGGGGAGAGAAGGGTCTCAGGACTGAAGGGGTGTTTGCCTGGCATGTTCTGTGCTCTGACCAAAGGACCACAGTCCTCTGTGGGTGTTGAGTCCAGGGGGTCCTTCTTCAGACTTTCCCCCGTGGTGCTTCTCCAGTGGAAAATGATTGGAGGGAAGGCTTCCTAGTTCTAGGGATCTGAGTGGGGTTTTGGAAGTTGGTTGGATTTGGATAGTGAATAAGGTGAATTCCTGGCAGAGGGAACGCCACGGGCCAAGGATATTTTAGCTGCCTAGAAAGTGATCTTTATAACTTTCTCTGCCCTTTTCTTCTTAGCCCCATCACTTTACAAGCCTTGATTCAATGCGGACAGCCCCAGTGTTACACTCGCATCCTCCAGTGGCTGAAGACTGAGAAAGCCAATCCTCTTCTGATAGATGTTGTGACCTACCTGGTGGCCCTGATCCCACAGCCCTCGGCCGAGAGGCTGCGGGAGATCTTTAACACGGCGAAGGAGCAGCACAGCCGGGCCACGTTCTATGCTCTGAGTCACGTGATCAACAAGTGAGTTTTATACTGGTTCTCCTCGTGGGAGCTGAGGAAGACCCCACATCTCTGTATTAAGTTTGTACCCTCCCTCCACTTGAAATTTCTGGTGCTTCCTCTTTTGTTTTTCAACTGGTCATTTTGAGAATAGTACATTGAAATGAGAAACCAGCAAACATAAATGTGTATTTTAAGATAAACTTTTGTTCTTCTGTTTATTGCTTGTATTCTGTATTCTGTTATTACTGTAAACCCAGCTATTATTATTATTCTGTAGCTATCGTAAGACAGACCCTGCGGGGACACAGGACTTGCTGGACATTGCTGATTACCTGTTGGAACAGATTCGTGATGACTGCACTGGGAACGAAGATCATACCTACTTAATTCTGAGGGTATTTTCAGTGTTTTGTAGAATATGCATCATTTCAGAAGCACTTTTCCTGTCCACCCTTCACTTCTCCTTCTGCACCCTAATTCCCTCTTATTTTATTTCCAATGCAGGTCATTGGAAATATTGGCAGAACTATGGAGAAGCTAACCCCAAAACTCACATCCTCCATCCTGAAATGTATCGAAAGTAGACAGCCATCACTGCTGATTCAGAAGGCTGCCATCCAGGCCCTGCGGAAAATGGAACTTAGAGACGAGGTGAAGTCCACAGACGAGGGCTGGAAGGGAAAAGTTTATGTAGATTGACAGAGATTTGGAATGAGATTCTAAATCTCATCATTGCTCTGACTTTAGTCTTCTGCTTTCTAATTGCAAATTTCAACACACCTATTGACTTCCTAGCAGTATGTGGACTTGAGAGAAATATTTGACCTTGCTACTACTACAGCAGGCAGAATGAGATCTTCACTACATGTGTCCTCCTGCCAGACTGACCATCACTCCCATCTTGGCAAAATATGCCTAATTTTCCTAATGCCCCTAATCTAGGATGGTCAAACTGGCACCACCAGTTTAAGTGGCAAAGACTCCAGAGCTTTGGAGACAACCTTATTTATTTATTAGCTCCAAGTTCTCACTATCCCACCCCAGCTTTACGCTCATATTGAAATAATTTATGTTAAAACAACTTTATTTTCAGTTAGTGGTGGATCTCTAGGAAGTGGTAACTTGGCCATAATGGGTGTATTTTAATGCAATTGAATTCAGCATGCATTAGATGGGTGTCTTCTGAGAACCCTTCCTTGAGCTCTTTGCTCTGGGGGAACACTGACAAGAAGGTTCAGTGCCAACATTTGAAGAATTATTATAGAGAAATTCAGCCTGCACATGGTAAGACCAGGCATGTTTGCCGGGCACGTTCTGTGTTCTGACCAGAGGACAGTGATAACGGTCCTCTCTTTCGGCTCCAGGTCCGGGAAGTCCTTCTTCAGACTTTCCTCAGCAACACCTCTCCTGGGGACAAGCGACTGGCTGCCTACCTCATGCTCATGAGGGGCCCTTCCCTGTCGGATGTTAGCAAAATCACCGAACTTCTCCCCTGGGAACAGAATGAGCAAGTGAAGAACTTTGTGGCTTCCCACATCGCCAACATCTTAACCTCGGATGAGCTGTCTATCCAAGAGTAAGTAAGAGCCATTTTCCTCCATCTGCTCCAAAAGACTGAAATTCCAAACCTCGATTCTGATTTCACCACTGCCTGCCCTTTATAGAGTGTTTTTCTTCTGGAACAGCATCTGTGTGAAAGTGCAGCAGATCTGAGCCAAACTCTCAGGGCAAGTGAAACCCACATGGTTTGGTAGTGATTGGAAATCCATATTTACTTGCGGTAAGAGAGTAACACGATGTGGTGTCAGCTCAAAATATCCCCCTTCTTTTCATCTAGTTTGAAGAAGTTAGTGGAAGAAGCTCTGAAAAAATCTCAACTTCCAACTGTCATGGACTTCAGAAAATTTTCCCGGAACTATCACCTTTCCAAATCTATTTCTCTCCCATCACTTGACCCGTTCTCAGCCAAAATTGAAGGGAATCTTATATTTGATCCAAATGATTACCTTCCTAAAGAAAGCATGCTGAAAGCGACCCTCACAGTCTTTGGATTTGCTCCAGCTGACCTGTTCGAGGTATGTGTGAGACTGAAGCAGAGTCTGACGTTTTCCAATGCATTCTGTTCTCCCCCATAAGTAGAACGTCAGGTCAAGGGAGCTGTGAGGCAGCCACCAGAGGAACAAGAATCATCAGGCAGTTGTACCATCACTTTGAGGCCTTCTTCTCTCCCTCCTCCCTCACCTTCCTGCCTCCCTGATGGGGGTCATCTGAAGCATGACTCCTTAGAATGGATGGAAATGCAGATGACTCAGAGAAGCCCTTAGACCCAAAATCCAAGGAAGCACATGGGCTGCACAGTCAGACGGAACTGGTTCAAACCCCAGATCCACTCCCAACTCTGAATCTCTGGTTTAACTATTTATCTTCTCTGAACCTTAGCTGCTTCTTCTAGAAAAAAAAAGGCACATAATAAGTTCTGCCATTCAAGATGCTGGTGAGATTTAAATAAGACAACTCCTACGGAGTGCTAAGCTCAGCTCCTGCCCTGTAGTATTCACTGAATACTTGTTGAATGAAATGAACATAAAGAGGGGAATGGGAGGCTGACAGACCACAGAGAAACCTGATGGCATTTTCTTGGTTGACTTCCTCTCTCAGATTGGTTTGGAAGGAAAAGGCTTTGAGCCAACATTGGAAGCTCTTTTTGGAAAGCAAGGATTTTTCCCAGACAGTGTCAGCAAGGCTTTGTACTGGGTTGATGGTCAAGTTCCTGATCGTGTCTCCAAGGTCTTGGTGGACCACTTTGGCTACAGCAAAGATGACAGACGTGAGCAGGTATTTTTTTTTTTTTAAGTATCCTCTCAAGGAAAGCTTTGGGTGTCAATGCGGAAACATTTTTATCTAAGCCTGGAAGTCATCAAGGAATGATCTAACTGACAAATATGGCTGTTGTCAATCAGTCTGGTGGGAAGAAGAGCCAGAATCCTCTGCAGCTGTGGGCCTCCTGGAGATTCAGATGCATGTTGAATTCAGTCGCATCAGAGCGAACTCTGGGGCATGGGTTTGAACCTTGCGCTCTCCAAGCTCTGCATACCTATGCAAGTTGCTTGATGTTATGTCTCTCTGTTTCAGCATCCACAGAGTGCTAATGCTAATCCATACACTTCACAAGGATGTTTAAAGACTAAATGAAAAAATGTAAAATGCTAACCAGAGTGCCTGACTCCGGTACTGATTATTCAATAAGCAGATACTATCATACTTTTTAAATTCATGTTTTCTTTGTTATTAACTACTTTCTTTGGCTCTTACCCTCATCTGTGCACTAGCTTATGGGAGCACAATCCTCTTCAGTGCCAGCATAAGCCTCCACTGAAGGAGTAGAAAATAGATTGTATAACCTGAAACTTCTTATTCCTTAACTTTCTGCTACCCAAAGTATGGTCTAGTCATTGGCATCACATCACCAGAGCTTGTTAGAAATGCAGGTTCTCAGGCCCCTCTGGGCTCTACTGAATCAGAATCTGCATTTTCATGAGATCCCCAGGTGACTGGGATGCACATTTCAGTTTGAGAAGCAGGATGATAATTTGCTCCTAGATGCTCACAAATGGTCCTACCTCCATCTCCTGATTTACTTACCTCCACTCGAGGCTGAGGGTCTTTGATCTGTTTTGGGTCTGTGGTCACTCTTTTCTTTCTCAATGCCTAAGAACCAGCCTGTGGAATTCTTATCTCTAAGAATAACTTATGTAGAGAAGAACTTATCTAAATCAGGTATTTTCAAGCTTTTGGCTAATGTATATGGCAGCTAAGCTTTCCCAAGAAACCCCAAGTGTTCTTCCCTATCAAAGGAAAGAGGGAAGAAGCAGGGGAGAGGGGAGAGGCAGAGGATCTTCTAATCTTGGGGGGCCATAGGGATCCTGGGATCCTGGAGAGCAGAGATCACACTGACTATGCCTACATCATTCAAGTTAAGAACAGTGTGGAAGCACCACTGTCCCTGACAAGACCTGTTTCTTCATCTCAGTTTGGAGGAGCTATCTTTTGATGACAGGTGGGAGCCTGATCTCAGTGTCTGCCTTGCGTCCCCATTTCCTTGAGTGTTTGTGTCTAGGCCCATCACAACTGCAGCAGATGGAACCCACTCAGCCATCTAAAGTTGTTTGTCAGTGCTAACAGCTCACTAGACATTTTGTTGTTAAAATCCCAGGACATGGTCAACGGAATTATGCTTAATGTGGACAAGCTGATCAAAGACTTGAAATCCAAAGAACTCCCAGAAGCCAGAGCCTACCTCCACATCTTGGGAGAGGAGCTTGGCTTTGTCAAGCTGCATGACCTCCAGCTCCTGGGGAGGCTGCTGCTGAATGGTGTCCATACTCTGCAGGGGATCCCCCAGTTGGTAAGTGGGCCAGGCCCCATCAAAGGGTGATGAGATTAGCCTGTGCTCTTTTGGGATCTCCCAGACTCCCTTATGATCCCAGCCACGCCAACCAGAGAAAGTACTTGTTCTTCCTTCAGAGAGGCAGGTTTCCCTTGAATTTCAGGGAAGAAAATTCTTGGATTGCAAGGAACCCATAACATTTAGAAATGAAGCTAGTCATCATGTTAGATGTATCTTTTTTTTAATTGAAGTATATAGTCAGTTATAATGTGTCAATTTCTGGTATACAGCACAATGTCCCAGTCACGCATATACATAAATATATTTGTTTTCATAGTCTTTTTTTTATTAAAGGTTATTACAAGATAGTGAATATAGTTCCCTGTGATTGGATAGATGTATCTTTTAAGAGGATTTATTTGTTCATCTGAAAAACAATGTTAAGTGTATCTCCCTCTACCTAAGCCACAGGTTTCTTTTAATATTGAAATGATGTAATGATTAAGAAAGAATGTGTGTGGCAAACTAAAATCTGCTATCTAAATATGAACTATAGTTTTTATAGTTATTCATTTATTAAGAAGGGAGAAAATAACCAAATACACTCCCTAAGGTGCAGTGAATAATAATGTGGCTTTAATAAAACATCTCAATTTACTTTCCAGATGTGTTATAAAAAAACAAAAAGCATTGCATACTGATATGTACATCATTTAAATTAAGCTCATCAGTTTTAAAAAAAATTGGTTTTTACCATAATATATTGTGCTGCAAATAAACCCTCACTTACATTTAGACTCCAGAAAACTAGAATTAAGCCATGCCATGCAATGATACTTAACGTTCATAAATCTCAGAGGCCCAGAAATATTCTGAAGTGCTTTCTGAATCACCAGTTGAAAATGACATGATATCTACCCACAGCAATTTTTTGTTTCCCAATTTGTTGAAAGTAATAGTTATTCATCTATTAAACTATTCGGCTAATTAAAATATGCTGGTCCCTTCCTTTCTGGATAAAGAAGAATAACTGTTGTCTGATGTGTGGGAGGTTGCATTTCACGAAGCACCCTTTGGTGAGGCTTTCTTTTACTCTCGCCTGTCGGATCTACAGATTAGAGAGACCATAAGGAAAGGCTCAAAGAATGACTTGTTTCTTCACTACATCTTCATGGACAACGCCTTTGAACTCCCCACTGGCCTTGGATTACAACTGCAAGTGTCCTCCTCCGGAGTCATCACTCCTGGAATGAAGGCTGGAGTGAAACTGGAAGTAGCCAATGTAAGACTCTGCTCACCTTTTGATTCCTTCAGGGCAGGTGCTCGTGCAATTTAAAAATGTGTTTCCAATTCAAGACGAAGTGCATCATCACTGTAATCACCTCAGTAACTTTTATGAAAACCCTTAGGGTTCCCCTGGGGTGCCCCACCTCACTCGCTCCACTTGGGCGCGGCAGTCAAGAGGTTTCTGTTATCTTTTTATCTTGCTGTGCTGAAAGTTAACTTGGCCACTTCCCAGTCCTGGGTACACATTCTGGCCCTGGAGGATTGAGAACTTGGCTTTTGTCCTACAAAAAAGTCTCCATAATGTTTCCCCTAGTGTGAGTGATCCAGGGATGTTTGCCCAGGGGTGGGAAGGGTGGTTGATCTGACCGCAGGGGACAGGTTGTTTAACAAAGACGAGTAGGCCGCTTTTTGACTTACAGATGCAGGCAGAACTGGTGACAAAGCCTTCTGTGTCTGTGGAGTTTGTGACAAATATGGGTGTCATCATTCCGGACTTTGCCAGGAGCGGGGTCCAAATGAACACCAACTTCTTCCATGAGACAGGCCTGGAGGCGCGGCTGGCCATGAAGGCCAGGCAGCTGAGGTTCATCATTCCTTCTCCTAAGAGGCCAGTCAAGCTCTTCAGTGGCAGGTAATTCTTTCAGTCAGATCTGAATCAACAGTTTGAAAGAGAGAATTAATTAGTTTATTTGGGGGGGTGTTTTTGTTTCTTCGGTTTTTATTGCCGGTCAGGGGGGGACTAGGTTTATTTACTTATTTATTTTAATGGAAGTATTGGGGATCGAACCCAGGACCTCGTGCAGTCTAAGCATGTGTTCTACCACTGAGCTATACCCTCCCCACCGAAAGAGAGAAGTAAGACTACAGGACTTGGCCAGGCCAGACAGCCGACTGAGATGATTCAGGCCCCAGTGGATGGGGGGGGCAGGGGTATGGGGGCAAAGGCGGGGAATGGAGAGAGGGAGAAGGCACTGGATTACCTATTTTTAACCTGGCCTAGATCCACTACATAAGTGTCCGCCATTTTTCACATTTTACTGAGGTGAGACTTAAGATCTCCTGCTTAGGTAGTTGCTATTAGGTTGTGTGTTTTTTGTTGTTTTTGAGAATGGAAAAAAAAAACACCAGCTGCAGGGGAGTCATCCTTGGGAAATGAGCACTGTTCCCAGGAAGATACCAAAGGAGCTACCAATCTGTGGCAGCTAGCTCGGTGGGAAAAGCCTGGAAGTCCTGATCCCCTGATCATGCGGGGCAGCCTCACATGGAGAGCTCCATCCTCAAACATCCATTCACCTTAGTTTCCATATTTTGGACACATTAGCTTGTTGATTCACATGTAATAAAAATAGTGCTTAATTGCCTAATATAGAAGCACGTTGAATGAGATGCACGAGGTCCCTGACCTAGAGCCTCCAGCTTACAGGAGGGCTGAGGTAGAGGAAGCACTGGAGGACCATGAAATTCTGTGTCGTGGAACCTGTGGCAGTGAGAGAAAGCTTTCTGAACAAAGCCCCCCTGAGCTGAGCCCTGGAAGCTGTGTCAGAGTTACCCAGACAAAAGAGGAAGGCATGAGCGTTCCCGGGCAAAGGGAAGAGCACGTGCAGCAGCCTGAAGGGAACGTAAAGCGGTCGGGGAGCTACAAGAAACTCCGTGTGGTCAAGAGTGTGGGGTGCGCAGTGACGGAGGCCGTGCCGGGCTGGCCAGGGGCAGCCCGCGGAGCCACCTTAAGGAGTTTGGACTCTTCTGAAGGCAGAAGGGCTTAACATGGGAGCATATATAAAATAAGGCTGGTGTTTTAGGAAACTCTGATCCCAGAGTGGAAGGTGGGGGGACAGGAAGCGTGGCTGGTGACAGGGAGTCCCACTGGGAACCTGTTACGATTGCCCACGGGAGAGAGGTGAAAGTGGTCCATGCTAGACGAGGCCCAGGTGGGGAGAGGGGTGAGCCCACCCGGGAATCCTCAGGAGGTAGGAACGGGAGTACTTGGTGATTGACTGGGCATGGGGCCAGGAAGGAGGTGAGGAAAAAGAAAGAGGAAAGAGGGACTGAAGAGGGAGAGCGGCTGGCGTGGAGGATGATGACAAATTCAGTTTTCAGTGTGCCGCCTGGCAGGCCTGTGAGACAGCTGATTACAACATCCAGCTGAGAGTCGGGCCCGTGGGCCTGAGCTCAGAAAAAAGGTTCAATTTCTATATACAGATTTGGGACTCATCGGCACATAGAGGTTGTTGAAGTTAGTGATCACCACGTAGAGACTGGGGCAGGGACTGGGACAGAAACGTGGAGAAGATACACACGTGAAGGGAAGAGGCATAAGCGAAGAGCGAGAAGAGGTGACCAGAGAGGCAGGAGAACCAAGGCCATCAGGGGCGTAGAAGCCCAGGAGTGGCCCCACAGGGAGGCCATAGCTGGCACTTAGGGCTCCAGCCCACCCACCAGCACAGCCTAGTCTTAGGGCACCTCTAAAATGAGGACCCAGCACTGAGAAAAGAATATGAAAGCATCCTTGGATGAAACCAGGACACTGTTGAACTTTTTTGCACTTTCGTACTTTTTAAGTAATTGGCAGGAAGTTACCATCATCTTTTTCAGAAGTTTCAGATGGTAAAGTCTTAATCTGGCCATAAGGGAGCAGCTCTACTGAATGCTTCCAAGAGATCAAGAAAGAGTGTCCATTGGAGGCGACTGGAGAGGCTGTTAGAAGCAGCTCCAGAAGCACCTGTTCAGTAAGAAGGCTGTTGAAAGTGGAGGCTGCAAAGGCTGGCAAGTTTCTTGATTGTGAGGGAGACCACAGGAGGCTAGAAGCGAAGGCAAGGGGTGTTGTGTGTATGCACGTGTGTGTGTGTACACAATGCAAGAAGAGACTTGAGTGTGTTTAATGCTGGTGCAAAGAAGCCAGTAGGGAGAGATTTCAGATGAAAGAGAAGCAGGGCACCCCTTATCCCGCACCTTGGGCAGGAAGGGGCACACCCACGGTCAAGTCCCAGTCATCATCCTTACCTCTCTGGGCCTGTTTCCTCTGTAAAAGGAGACTCTTAATGCCTACCATTGTGGAAATTACAGATAACAGATGTAACAAACTTAGTGCAGTCAGTGCCTTAGTGCAAGTTGTTTTGGGAAATGTGAGAGTCACTGTGATTGTTGCCTTGTTGATGTTCTTACTGTTCTTTGATTCTGGGTAAATCAAAGAATTTGAAGTGGGTGTGGCCAGGAGGGAGATGGAGAGCAGGATAAAGAAAGGAGCATTTGCATGGGGAGAATTGGTGATGTTCATTTTGGTTCATGACTTGAAGATAACTCAGGTTTTTTCCCCTCTCTTCACTAGTAACACATTGCATTTGGTCTCTACCACCAAAACGGAAGTGATCCCACCTCTAATTGAGAACAGGCAGTCCTGGTTGACTTGCAAGCCTTTCTTTACTGGCCTGGACTACTGCACCTCGGGCGCTTACTCCAATGCCAGCTCCACAGACTCTTCCTCCTACTACCCGCTGACAGGGGACACCAGGTCAGAGATGCTCAGTGTCCTCACCCAGCATCCACTCACTTTCTTCATTATGGCCACCTATCAGGGCCAACGGAAAATGTATGTTGGAGGTGCTGTGTCACCAGCCACAGGAATTTGCACTGTCCTTTGATTATTTAGAACAGTGGACCTTTGCCCAGCACACCTGAAGGGTACCCACATTCCTACCTGCCCTTTGATTCTAGGACAGGGTGTCTCCATAGGTGGGAGGGGAAGGGCAGTGTTGGAAGGTGAGGCGTCATGATCCCTAAGGGAGGTCTTAGCTCAAAAGATAAATAACCAAGATGATTACTTCAACTCTCTCAGGGAATGGTACCCATTGTCAATTGAGAATCACTCCTTTAAAAGCATCTCTTTGTAGGTGATACCCCATCTCCCTCCCTCAGGCATTTGAGGAGCCATCTCAGTATGGACGGATACTGAGTTGCTCCTAATTCAGTATCCACATCTCTGAGCCTCCAGACACACTGTCATGATCCTTCCTGGAGCCCACTCCCACCTCTTGTTCTCAGCTTTGCTGACACACCAGCCAGCTTCTGCTCTGCTGGTTCAGAAACCCGGGGCATCCTGGGATCTGTCCTTGCCTCGGGCTTTTGGAGAGACTGAAAGGGCTTTACCATTAGTTAAGGACAAGAGACAGTGTTAAATAAGGACCATATTTTCGCTGCAATTGAGGCTGAGTTGTTTGGGGGACAATCATCATCACCATTGACAGCTCTAACCTTACACACCATGTGCATTATAACATCTTTAGATTTGCACTGGAACTGAAGCCAACGGGAGAAGTAGAGCAGTATTCTGCCAGCATGTCCTATGAACTCCAGAGAGACGGTGAAGCCTTGGTGGACATGCTAAAGTTCGTAACACAGGCAGAAGGCAAGTATCCTGGAGAGGGCGCCTTTATTCTCTGCCCTCAGTCCTGGCCCAGGACTCACAATGAGAACATACTTATTTAATGTAATTAACAAATATTTACTGAGTGGCAGGTAAAAGTCAAAACTGTTCTAAGAGCTGATGCTAAAACAATGAACAATGGAGATAAAGTCACTGCTTTTGCAGAGTTTATAGTAAATAACCAAACAGGTCAGTATTCAGAATGTCGGATTGGTGCTGGGCAGAAGAATAGAGCACAGAGGGGTCTAGGGAATGTTAGGCGTGGCAGCAAGGAGGAAGGATGGGGGAAGGCAGCGCCACTTGGAATGATAAGGGGAAACTCTCACTGGTAAAGGGAGCATAAAATAACGACCTGAAGGAAGTCATGGGAAAAGCCATACGGAAAAGTGTTACGGGCTGAAGGGCCAGCAGGTGCAAAGGCCCTGAGGCAGGTGCATGGTTGCTGTGTCTGGGGAAAGGGAAGAAAGCCAGCATGGCTGAAGCAGAGAGTGGAGGGAAGAAAGTAGTAGATGAAGTGAGAGAGACAGGAGGTGGTCGGGGAGGGATGGTCCGTAGGCTGTGGTAAGGGTGTTGGCTTTTACAATGAGTGAAACAAGAAGCTACTATTGTTTTAATTTAAGTATAGTTGATTTACAATAGTGTGTTAGTTTCAAGTGTATAGAAAGTGATTCAGTTATATATGTTTTTTTCTTCAGATTCTTTTCCATTATAGGTTATTACAAGATACTGAATATAGTTCCCTGTGCTATCCAATAGGTCCTTATTGTTTATCTATCTTAAACATAGTAGTTTGTATCTGTTAATGCCAAACTCCTAATTTATCCCTCCCCTCCTTCCACTTGGGCAAATGAAAGTTTGTTTTCTATGTCTGTGAGTCTGCTTATGTATTATAAATAGTTTATATCATTTTTTTAGATTTCACACATAAGTAATACATGATATTTGTCTTTCCTTGTCTGACTTACTTTACTTAGTATGATGATCTCTAGGTCCATCCATGTTGCTGCAAATGGCATTATTTCACTCTTTTTTATGGCTGAGTAGTATTCCATTGCATACATATACCATGTCTCCTCTAATCACTCATCTGTTGATGGACACTTAGGTTGCTTTCATGTCTTGGCTATTGTAAAATAGTGCTGCTGTTGGGGTGCATGTATCTTTTTGAATTAAGAGTTTTCATCTTTCCTAGGCATATGCCCAGAAGTGGGATTGCTAAATCATATGGTAACTCTATTTTTAGTTTTTTAAGGAACCTCCATACTGTCCTCCAAAGTGACTGCACCAATTTACAGTCCCACCAACAGTGTAGGAGGGTTCCCTTTTCTCCACCCTCTTCAGCATTTATTTTTTGCAGGCTTTTTAATGATGGCCATTCTGACCTGTGTGAGGTGACACCCCATTGTAGTTTTGATTTGCATTTCTCTAATAATTAGCAATATTGAGCATCTTTTCATGTGCCTGTTGGCCATCTGAATGTCTTCTTTGAAGAAATGTCTATTTAGATCTTCTGTCCATTTTGTGATTAGGTTGTCTGGTTTTTGATATTGAGCTGTATGAGCTATTTGTGTATTTTGGAAATTAATTCCTTGTCAGTTGCATCATTTGCAAATATTTTCTCCCATTCTGTAGGTTGTCTTTTCCGTTTGCTTATGGTTTCCTTTGCTGTGCAGAAGCTTATAAGTTTGGTTAGGTCCCACTTGTTTATTTTTGAAGAAGCTACTGTTTGATTTATGTTTATGTGGAGGGAAGACTTTAGGGGCACCAGGGCAGGGAAACCAGTATGTAGGCTGTCACAATAGTCCAGGCCAGAGATGGTGGCTCTGGATTAGAGTGGTGGCAACGGGGATCTGAGAAGTGGTTGGATTCTGGTCATATTTTGAAGATTAGGTGGACAAAATTTGCTGAGACAGTGGATTGGGACAACTATCAGAGAAAAAAGGCAGCCAGGACAGCTCTAAGTTTTAGGCCCGAGCAACTAAAGAATGGGGTTGCCATTTACTGAGATGGAAAAGGCTACTGGAGGAGCAGGTTTTAGGGGATGGGGAAACTTAGATGCTCACTTTAGAAGATTTTTTACCTAGATTTTTTTACCTGTATGTCACACAATTAAATGAGAAAAACAAAACCCACAGGAGAGGGGGTGCATGCAAGGGATACATACTGAAAAAAGTGTCATGTGACAAGAAAAGATATAAAATGGGTACACCTGTGGACTGAGGGAAACTGAGAATCCTGTGACAAAGGAAGCGAGGAACCGGGACAGGTTTGTAGGTAGAGGGTCCTATAAAGATGTCATGTTCCCCTGACACAGAAGGACTCCAAGCCCGTATTGTTCCTCGAACACGCTGAGTGTTTCTCATATCAGAACCTTTTGCATTTCCGGTTCCCACTGCCCGGAATGCTCTCGCCCACCCCCAGGAGGCAGCATGGCTCAGCCTCTCTCTTTGTTCAAGTCTCTGCCCACATACCCCCTTATCGGAACTCTGACCACCACACATGAAAGGGCACCTCTTCTGTCCCTTTCTATCCTCATCATCTTACCCAGTTTTACTTTTCTTCCTAACATTTATTACCACCTGACATAAGTAATCTACTTTCTTATTGTCTGTACCCCTCCCACGAGAATGTCAGCTCTAGGAGGGTAGGGACTCCCAGTGCCCAGAGCAGTGCCTAGCACGTGATAAGCCATAAGCAAATATTTACAAATGTGCGAGTACCACTGGGTTAAAAGTTTAAGGTTAAATCCTGAACTGTGTCCTCTTTTAAGCACATTAAGTACTTGGGGGTTTCTCTGCCTTTTTCTGTCTTTCCTTCCTAAACATGGTTTCTGAATACACGCCTTGGTTCTCTTGTACATACTTCCAGGTATGAAGCAAACTGAGGCTACTCTGATGTTCAGATATAATCGGCAGAGTAAGACTCTGTCCAGTGAAATCCAAATCCCAGATTTTGACGTTGACCTTGGAACAGTCCTCAGAGTTAGTGATGACTCCGCTAAGGAAAAACAATCTTACAGGCTCACCCTGGACTTTCAGAACAAGAAGATCACTGAGGTCACCCTCACAGGCCACATAAGGTAAGGAAGGCTCAAGGGGGTCTAACCTGAGCTGCGGGCCTTCGTGGCTCTTTCCTCTCTTCCTTTTCAGCTTTAGAGCTGACCAGACCAGGGGCATCCCTGGTCTACAGTCCGAGAGGCAGACAGAGCCCTCAACATTCTGACCCTCTGCACACGTCCAGCTGGACCTTCCTTCCATGCACTGGTTACTTACTGTTCATCAGGCAGTGCGCTGGGTGCTTTAAAGAAACTATCTCAGTGAGTCACAACAAACTGCAAGGCAGGTATGAGTTTCCCTGTTTTATGGACAAGGAAATGGTAGCTCAGAGGAATTTAATAATTTGGCCAAGGCAATGGAGACGGTAAATGCGAGAGCAGGGTTCAAACAGTTTTTGAAAACTTTTTCTCCCACACCTCCTCAGAAAGACCTGAATTTGTGCTGAGTTGGCTCTAGAAGTTAATGAGTTTAATCTTGGGTCATTTCTCTGAACCATTCATGTGGCAGGTATTCATTGTCCCAGATGGAACTTTTGTTTAATCCTGCGTATCCCCTTGGAATGAACAAAGTTACTGATGTCAACTGTTTTTTTCAATAGTTATGACAGGAAGGAAGAAGGCAAAATCAAAGGTGTTATTTCCATACCCCGTTGGCAAGCAGAAGCCAGAAGTGAGGTCCTCACCCAGTGGTCTCCCTCCAAACTACTCCTCCAGATGGACTCATCCGCTACAGCGTACGGCTCAACGATTTCCAAGAAGCTGGCATGGCGTTACGGTGTGTACTTCCTCCCAACCTGAGCACTTCCGAGAGCACCGAGTGCTTGAATGCGGTGTTGGCAGCCACAGGTGGGGCCTCACCCGCTACTACTGACAACTGTTTCATGTGTGTGTGTTTGCAGATGAAGAGAAGATTGAATTTGAGTGGAACACAGGCTCCAACGTGGACACCAAAAAAGCAGCTTCCAGCTTCCCCATGGACCTCTCTGATTTTTCTAAAAGCTTGCATATGTATGCCAGCCGTCTCTTGAATCACAGAGTTCCTCCAACAGACATGACTTTCCAGGACATGAGTTCTAAATTAATAGATGTAAGTACAAACCAGTCAATAAATACAAAGTTATAAAGTACTAATTACATAGTCAACCCTGAGTTAGGTGAGAGTATCCAAGGGTGGATAAAGGCAGGCTTCGTGCCCCCAGGGAATTCCTGGGGAGAAAAAGAAACACTCATGAGTGTGTAGTTACCCAGTTACATGGCTATATGTGATAAATATCAAATGAATACTACCAAGCAGAAGCATTTCCTGTGCCTAAAATATCACAGGGAGCTTCAGGACACTGGATAGGGGTTTGACTATGTTATATGTTCCTTTTATAAAATACAGGAAGAGATTAATGACAACCAAAATTCATAATTTTTTATGATTTCTTTTTTTAACTTTCAATACATCATCCTGCTTAATGATCGATCTGCCAAATATGGATCAGCACCTAATGTTCATTGTGATTTGATGCCCATCCATGTCCACTGCTCTGAAAAGCTGTATTATTTTGTAGGCAACAAATATATGGCTTCTGGAGGCATCTAGGAATCTTCCTTATGGCCAGAAGCTACGAGATCATTTCAGTGGCCTACAAGAGTTGTACCTCCAGAAAATGGAATTGCTAGACTTCCACATCCCAGAAAAGCTCTTCTTGAAAAGGTAAAAATAAAGGATCCCGAAAAGTTTCTTGAACCAGGGAAAGTAAATAGAAGATTTTACTTAGCATGATTTAGACTTTTTCAAATTTACATTTTAAAGGAAATGAGCATTTTAAGGAGATTAGTAACTGTAGCATAAATACTGTGGCAGAGGTCAGATATGTGAATGCCAACCCAGTCAAAAAAAAAAAAACCTAAGAAATTGGGGGATTCTGGTACTTTCACCCTAACAAGTTTTATTTATTCACTACAATTTGAAAACCATTCGGTTTTCCTCCACTGTAAGTGAACTCCTCGTCTATTCAGGATCAGGATATACTCATAATTGTGAAGAATTTAGGAGTGTCTAGCAGGATTGTTGACTCGCTGTTGAGCTCAGAGGTTCAGAACAGCCACGGGGCGTGGAATGAAGGCAGATTCTGAGAGGATGTGTCACTTTAGCAGTATGGCGTCATCCTTATGGGGAAGTCAGATTCTAAAATGCTCAGGCCCCTTCCATACTTAGATGTGATGCTTTGATTCCTGTCATGAAAATTTAAAAGCTGGAGCATAAGCTGAAAAGACTGTAGTCTGTCCTGGATTGTAGACTCTGTGTTATCTTCAGGGTTAAGAGAACAAGTGCCCTGTGTCACACGGGCCTTTCTGTAGTCTGTGGCTGAGCAGTAATAGACCAAATAAGTGTGCGAAAGGGCTGAAATTCCACCAAAGCACTCATCCAGAGGAGACAGGAAGGCAAGAGAAACAGCCAGCAGCTTCAGAGGCACCTCTTCCTTCACCACTAGAGTTTCTGACCAGCAGTCTTCTCTGTGCTGTGCTTTTCAAGGCAGGACCACGGGGTCTTAGAACTGGACAGGGCTTTTCAAGCATCCCCCTGCTGAACGTCAGGATCCTGGCCAGGCAGCATCCTGTCCTTCATGGAGTCATGCAGTGAACAGTTTATTTGTTTACAGCACTTAAACCCTGCCATCCTGCTTTCTTCTTATGAGTTGTCGTAACAGTCCATTGGATGTGCATAGTATTGAAAAGACTGCAAAGTGCTTCTAGATATTTTTTTTCTTGTTTCATATCCAAGGCCAGCTCTGTGAGACCAGCAGAAATGGTCCATTATCCTCACTGCACAGATAACGTCACTGAGACCCAGAAAGGCAAATTCACTAACACGGTATCACCAATGAGTGGATGCTAATGCTGTAACCCAAGATTACTGACTTCCACACCTGTGCGCTTTCCACATATCAAGTTGCCTCTTCAGTTTAGCAAATATATATCAAGCGCAGTCCTCTGTGCAGTACTAGACTCGGTGCAGTGAGAAGATAAAAACTGGATAAAGTGTAATCTTCCCCCCAGGAAGACACTGTGTAGACACTGACAAATGAACAAATAAGTATAACTTACATAAGCAGAATTATGACATACTCCTTAAAATCGGTGTAAAGGATAGTGTTGCTGTAATAACAAGAGAAGTTAACTATGACTTAGACAGGATGGCAGTAATAAGGACACAGCTCTTGGAAGGGTTTTGAATGGATGTGAGTGTTTGATAGGTTAGGTTAAAGCCAAGGGACTCCAGGCGCGGGGAGGAGCAGGAGGAGCAGTGCAGTTTGGGACTGGAGCGGGGCACGTGCACTACTGCTCAGAAGGTCGGGAGGCAGAGAACTTGCTGCTGACTGTGGGGACACTGTCTCTGCTCTTCATTTCAGTGACGGTCGGATCAGATACACCTTGAACAAGCACAGTATGAAAATCGAGATCCCTTTGCCTTTTGGTGGCAAATCCTCCAAAGATCTAAAGATGTTCAAGACTGTTTGGACACCAGCCCTCAACTTCAAGTCTGTGGGATTCTACCTGCCACCTCGAGAGTTCCAAGTCCCCACTTTTACCATTCCCAGATTGTACCCACTGCAGGTGCCTCTCTTGGGTGTTCTAGACCTCTCTGCAAATATCTACAGCAACTTGTACAACTGGTCCGCCTCCTATACTGGCGGCAACACCAGCACAGACCACTTGAGCCTTCAGGCTCAGTATCACATGAAGGCTGATTCCGTGGTCGACCTGCTCTCCTACAGTGTGCAAGGTGAGCTACGCTCGAGGAGAGGGTGCACAGAGCTAATTCACTGCAGGTTCCAGGGACAGCCTCCTCTACAAAGGGGAAAGCTTGGGCTTTCTTACAGATACTTTTCTTGCAGTTGGAAGTCTACTCTTTTTCACTTCTCTCTCCCTCTCTCTCTCGCTCCAAAAATACTTATTAAACACACAATATGTATCGAGTATTCTAGTAGACAATAAGAGAAAACAGATAGCTAAACTGGCAATAAGAAGTCAATGTGAGAGGTACCATGATGGGGTATAGTGTATAAGGTACAGTGGAGGCACTTGACAAGGGAACCCAGCAAGGTCTATAGTGGTCAGGAAAGGCTTCCTGGAGGAATGCCTTTTGCTATCAGATTTTATGCTCCTGTTTTAGGTGGGGGAGACTATGACACAACTGACTCAGACCAGTGGGACTTCATTATTGAAAGATTTTCAATATAGAAATTGTTCTGAAAATGTGTTATGTAATTTAACCAGTATGTTTTGATTTTTATGTTAGGATCTGGAAAAACAGCCTATGACCACAGGAATACTCTCACCTTATCAGGTGATGGGTCTCTACACCACAAATTTCTGGATTCAAATGTCAAATTCAGTCACGTGGAAAAAAATGGAAAGAATCCAGCCTCAAAAAGTTTGCTAACATTCGATGCCTCTAGTGCCTGGGGACCACAGATATCTGCTTCAGTCCATTTGGACTCAAAAAAGAAACAGCATTTGTATGTCAAAGAAGTCAAGATCAATGGGCATCTTGGAGCCTCTTCGTTCTACGCTAAAGGCGCATATGGCCTGTCTTATCAGAGGGACCCCACCACTGGCCGGCTAAGTGGAGAATCCAATCTGAGGTTTAATTCCTCCTACCTCCAGGGCACCAACCAGATAACAGGAAGCTACGAAGATGGAACCGTCTCCCTTACCTCCACGTCGGATCTGCAAGGTGGCATCATGAAAAATACCGCTTCCTTGAGATACGAGAACTATGAGCTGACCCTGAAATCCGACACCAATGGGAAGTATGAGGACTTCGCCACTTCTAACAAGGTGGATCTGACCTTCTCTAAGCAAAGTGCCCTGCTGCGTTCTGAGTATCACGCTGACTACAAGTCACTGAGGTTCTTCACCCTGCTTTCTGGCTCACTAAACTCTCATGGCCTTGAACTGAATGCTGACATCTTGAGCACGGACAAAATCAATAGTGGGGCTCACAAGGCAACACTGAGGATTTCCCAAGATGGAGTGTCTACCAGCGCAACGACCAACTTGAAGTATAGTCCCCTGGTGCTGGAGAATGAACTCAACGCAGCACTCAGCCTCTCTGGAGCGTCTATGAAATTGACAACAAACGGCCGCTTCAGGGAACACAATGCGAAATTCAGTTTAGATGGAAAAGCTGCCCTCACAGAGGTATCACTGGGAAGCGCTTATCAGGCCATGATTCTGGGTGTCGACAGCAAAAACATTTTCAACTTCAGAATCAACCAGGAGGGGCTTAAGCTTTCAAATGACATGATGGGCTCATATGCTGAAATGAAACTTGACTACACAAACAACCTGAACATTGCAGGGTTATCACTCGACTTCTCTTCCAAACTTGACAACATTTATAGCTCTGACAAGTATTATAAGCAAAATGTTAATCTAAAGCTGCAGCCCTATTCTCTGGTGACTACTTTAAACAGTGACCTGAAATTCAGTGCTCTGGATGTGACCAACACTGGCAAATTACGGCTAGAGCCCCTGAAGCTGAATGTGGGCGGGACCATAAAAGGAACTTACCAAAATAATGAAATAAAACACATCTACACTATTTCTTATGCTGACTTATCAGCAAGTTATAAAGCAGACACTGTAGCTAAGGGGCAGGGAACAGAGTTTAGCCACCGGCTCAACACAAACATCGCTGGGCTAGCTTCAGCCATTGACATCAGTACAAACTACAATTCGGACTCACTGCACTTCAGCAATGTTTTCCGCTCTGTGATGGCCCCATTCACAGTGACCGTCGACACACATACAAATGGCAACGGGAAACTGGTTCTCTGGGGACAACACACTGGGCAACTGTATAGCAAACTTCTGTTGAAAGCAGAACCTCTGGCCTTTACTTTCTCTCATGATTACAGAGGCTCCACAAGTCACCGTCTCATGTCCAACAGGAGCATGAGTACTGCTCTTGATCACAAAGTCAGTGCCCTGCTCACGCTGGCCGAGCAGACAGGCACCTGGAGGCTCAAGACACAGTTGAACCAAAATGAATACAGCCAGGAATTGGATGCTTACAACACTAAAGACAAAGTTGGTGTTGAGCTCAGTGGACAAGCCCTGGCTGACCTCACTATGCTGGACATCCCTATCACGGTACCATTTTTACTCAACAAGCCCATCAATGTAATTGATGCTTTAAAGATGAGGGATGCTGTTGACCAGCCCCAAAAATTCACTATTGTTGCTTCTGTGAAATACGATAAGAACCAAGATGTGCACACCATCAACCTCCCATTCTTTAAAATCCTGCCACAATATTTTGAGAAGACTCGGGGAGCAGTTATAGTTACACTGGAAGCTATACAGAGAGAACTGAAACGCATCAATATTGATCAACCCATGACAAAATACGTAGCAGTTCTGGGCAGACTTCCACAGCAACTTAATGATTATCTGAATGCATTCAATTGGGAGAGACAAGTTTTGAGTGCCAAGGAGAAACTAACTGCTTTCACAAAAAATTACAGAATTTCAGAAAATGATTTACAAATGGCATTAGACAGTGCCAAAATCAAGCTTAATGAGAAACTATCTCAACTACAAACATATGTGATACAATTTGATCAGTATATTAAAGATAATTATGATTTACATGATTTTAAGGCAGCTATTGCTAAGATTATTGATCAAATCATTGAAAAATTGAAAATTCTTGATGAACATTATCATATCCGTGTAAATTTAGTAAAGAAAATCCATGATCTATATTTGTTTATTGAAAAGATTAATTTTAACAAAATTGGAACTAGTACTGCATCTTGGGTTCAAAATATGGATACTGAGTATCAAATCAGAATCCAGATACAAGAAAAATTACAACGGTTCAAGACACAGATTCAGAATATAGACATCCAACACCTTGCTGAAAGGTTAAAACAACTGGTTGAAGCTATTGATGTCAGAGTGCTTTTAGATCAGTTGAGAACAATTCCATTTCGAAGAATAAAGGAGATTATTGAATATATCAAATACTGTGTTGTAAGTCTGTTTGAAGATTTTGAAGTAACTGAGGAAATCAATGCTTTCAGAGGCATTGTCCATGAGTTAATTAAGATGCATGAAATAGACCAGCACATCCAGATTTTAATGAATAAATCAGTGCAGCTGGTCCGCCAATACAAGTTGCAGGAGACTGTTCAAAAGCTAAGCAGTGTCCTCCAACAAGTCAAGATCGAAGATCATGTTGAGAAATTGACTGGGTTTATTGATGCTGCTCTCAAACAGCTTGAAGCATTATCTTTTAAACAATTTGTTGAAGAAGTAAACAAATTCCTCGACATGTTGGTAAAGACATTAAGGTCATTTGATTACCACCAGTTTGTAGATAAAACCAATCATCAAATTTGTGAGGTGACTCAGAGAATCAATGGTGAAATTCAGGCTCTGGAACTTCCACAGAAAGCTGAAGCACTGAAACTGTTTGCAGAGGACGTGAAGTCCGTGGTCTCAGCCTATATGGAAAACCTAGGTGCCACCAAAATAACTGTATTCTTTGATTGGCTACAGGGGACTTTAAATTCCACGTCTGTAGTTCACATGAAAGCCAAATTCCAAGAGATCCTGGAAGACATACGAGACCGAATGTATCAAATGGATTTGCAGCGGGAAGCTCAGCGATACCTGTTCCTAGTTGGCCAGGTTTACAACACGCTGGTCACTTACATTTCTGATTGGTGGAGTCTTGCTGCTAAGAACCTGACTGACTTTGCAGAACAGTATTCTATCCAAGACTGGGCTGAAAACCTGAAAGCATTGGTAGAACAAGGGTTCACTGTTCCCGAAATCCAGACCACCTTCGGGACCATACCTGCCTTTGAAGTCAGTCTCCATGCCCTTCAGGAGGCTACATACCAGACTCCTGACTTCACAGTCCCCCTGACAGATCTGAAGATTCCATCGGTTCAGATAAACTTCAAAAAGTTGAAAGATATAAAAATCCCATCCAGATTTTCCACGCCAGAATTTACTGTCCTCAATACCTTCCACGTCCCTTCATTTACAATTGACTTGGTAGAAATAAAAGCAAAGATCATCAGAACCATTGACCAAATGCTGAACAGTGAGCTGCAGTGGCCAGTCCCGGAAGTGTACCTGAGGGATCTGAACGGGGTGGACACTATTCTTGCTAGAATCACTCTGCCAGACTTCCACTTACCAGAAATCACAGTGCCAGAATTCGTAATTCCAAATCTCAACCTTACAGATTTCCAAGTTTCTGACCTTCGCATACCAGAATTCCAGCTTCCCCACATCTCACACACTATTGAAGTACCTACTTTTGGTAAGCTGTATGGCCTTTTGAAAATCCAGTCTCCCCTTTTCGTATTAGATGCAAATGCTAACATTCAGAATGCAACTGCTTCAGCTAGTAAGGCAGAGATTGAAGCTGCCTTCACTGCCGAAGGAAAATCCAAATTAGAAGTTCTCAATTTTGATTTCCAAGCAAATGCACAACTGTCAGACCCTACAACTAAGCCACTGGTTCTGAAGGAGACTGTGAGGTTCTCCAGCAAGTACCTGAAAACGGAGCACGAGAGTGAAGTGCTATTTTCTGGGAAGGTTATTGAGGGAAAATCAAACACAGTGGCAGGTTTACACACAGAAAAAAATACACTGGAGCTTAGTAATGGTGTGCTCGTCAAGATAACTGATCAGCTTACCCTGGACAGCGACACAAAGTACTTCCACAAATTGAACATCCCCAAACTGGACTTCTCCAGTCAGGCTGACCTGCGCAATGAAATCAAGACTCTGTTGGAAGCTAGACACATAGCATGGACTTCTTCTGGAACAGGATCCTGGAAATTGGCACGCCACAAGTTCTCAGACGAGGGAACACATGAAGCACAAATTCGCTTTACTGTGGAGGGACCCATCACTTCCTTTGGGTTGTCTAATAAGATATATAGCAAATACCTAAGAGTAAACCAAAGTATGGTTTATGAATCTGGCTTCCTCAACTTTTCTAAATTTGAAGTCCAGTCACAAGCCGAATGCCAGTATGTGGGCCGAAGTGTTCTCACTGCCAAAGGCATGGTCCTGCTTGGAGAAGGGAAGGCAGAGATAACTGGCAACCATGATGCTCATTTAAATGGAAAAGTTATTGGAACTTTGAAAAATTCACTTTTCTTTTCATCCCAGCCATATGAAATTACTGCATCCACAAACAATGAAGGAAATTTGAGAGTTAGTTTTCCATTAAAACTAACGGGCAAGATAGACTTCCTGAACAACTATGCACTGTTTCTGAGTCCTGGTGCCCAGCAAGCAAGTTGGCAAGCAAGTGCCAGGTTCAACCACTATAAGTACAATCAAAATTTCTCTGCTGTAAACAATGAGAAAATCACGGAGGCCTACGTAGGAATAAATGGAGAAGCCAACCTGGATTTCTTAAACATTCCTTTAACAATCCCTGAAGTGACTCTACCTTACATAAGGCTCACAACTCCCCAGGTGAAGGATATCTCCTTATGGGAAAAGACGGGCTTGAAAGGATTCTTGAAAACAACAAAGCAGTCCTTTGATCTAAGTGTGAAGGCTCAGTATAAGAAAAACAAAGACATGCATTCCATCTCAGTTCCTTTGGATGCATTTTATGCGCTTATCAATCATAACATCCATTCCTTCAACAGGCATTTTGAGAAAGTCAGAAACAAGGCCTTATATTTTTTTAACAAATCCTATAATGAAGCAAAAACTACATTTGATAAGTACAAGGTTGAAAAATCCCTCAACGAGCAGCCCAAGACCTTTCAAATTCCTGGATATACTATTCCAGTTATCAACATCGAAGTGTCTCCGTTCACCATGGAGATGCTGCCGTACAGCTATGTGATCCCAAAGGAGATTAGCACTCCCAGCATCACCATTCCAGGCTCTGGCATCTATGTGCCCTCATACACATTAGTCCTGCCTTTCCTAGAGCTGCCAGCCCTTCATGTCCCCAGGAATCTTCTTGAGTTTTCTCTTCCAGAGCTCAAGGGACTGAGTACCCCAAACAAAATTTTAATTCCAGCCATGGGCAATATTACCTATGACTTTTCCTTTAAATCAAGTGTCATCACACTGAATACCAATGTTGGACTTTATAACCAATCAGATATTGTTGCTCATTTTCTTACTTCCTCTTCTTCTGTCATCAATGCCCTGCAGTACAAATTAGAGGGCACCTCAAGTGTGACAAGGAAAAGAGGGTTGAAGTTAGCCACAGCTTTGTCTCTGAGTAATAACAGATTCGTGGCAGGCAGTCATGACAGTACCATTAGCTTCACCAAGAAAAACGTGGATGCATCAGTGACAACTACTGCAAGAGTCCACATTCCAATTCTGAGAATGAATTTCAAGCAAGAGCTTAATGGAAATACCAAATCAAAACCTACTGTCTCTTCATCCATTGAATTAAAGTATAATTTCAATTCCCCCAAACTGTACTCTACTGCTATGGGGGCAGTTGACCATAAGCTCAGCTTAGAAAGCCTCACCTCTTACTTTTCTATTGAGTCATCTACCAAAGGAGATGTCAAGGGTTCTGTCCTTTCACGGGAATATTCAGGGATTATTGCCAGTGAGGCCAGCACTTATTTGAATTCTAAAGGTACTCGATCTTCTGTGAAGCTGCAAGGAGCTTCCAAAGTTGATGGTATCTGGAGCATTGAAGTAAAAGAAAGTTATGCTGGAGAAGCCACTTTTCAACGCATATATGCCATCTGGGAACACAATATGAAAAACCACTTACAGCTAAAGGACCTCATTTTAACATCCGGAGAGCAAACAAGCAAAGCCACCCTGGAGCTCTCCCTGTGGAAAATAGAAGCCCTTGTTCAGGTCCATGCACGTCAGCCCAATTCCCTCCTTGATGTCAATTACCTTGGCCAGGAAGTGTCCCTGCATGCCAACACTGAGAACCAGAAAATCAGCTGGAAAAGTCAGGTCCAGGTTCATTCTGGGTCTCTCCAGAACAATGTACAGCTTTCCAATGACAAAGAAGAGGCACTCCTTGACATCACAGGCTCCTTGGAAGGATACCTGTGGTTCCTCAAAGATGTTATCCTGCCAGTTTATGACAAGAGCTTATGGGACCTCCTAAAGCTGGATGTAACCACTAGCATTTATAGGAAACAGTACCTCCAAGCTTCAGTTGCCCTTGTGTACACCAAAAACCCCAATGGCTATTCTTTTGCTATCCCTATGCAAGAACTGGATGATAAATTCATTATTCCTGGGCTGAAACTGGATAATCTACATTCTGTTCTTGTCACACCTGCATTCCACATCCCCTTTACAGATCTTCAGGTTCCATCCTACACACTTGACTTTGGTGAAATAAAAATCTACAAGAAGCTAAGTACACCACCATTTGCCCTCAACATCCCAGCACTACTCAAAGTGAAATTCCCCGAAGTTGATGTTGGGATAACACAATATTCTGAACCAGAAGCCTCCTCAGTTCCCTTTTTTGAGATAACTGTGCCTGCAACTCAGTTAACTGTGTCCCACGTCACCCTTCCAAAAAGTATTTCTGTTGGCAGTGCTATTTTACACCTAAATGAGGTGACCAGCAACACTGCAGGCTTCAAGCAGCTGACTGTCAGCATGCCTGAGCAGACTATTGAAGTTCCTTCCATTAAGTTCTCTGTACCTGCTGGAATTTCCATCCCTTCCTTTGGAACACTGACTGCACGCTTCAGGGTGGCCTCTCCCTTGTACAATGCCAGTTGGAGTGCTGGTTTGAAAAACAAAGAAGATCATGTTGAAACATTCCTGGATTCCACATGCAGCTCAACCATTCAGTTCCTGGAATATGACCTCAATGGTAAGGAAATTTCCTGACTCCCTTCCTACAGGCTGTATTTTTTCAGTGAGACTTGTGAATAAATAAGTATGTATTTAGATTATGACTAGAAGCAAAATTGATCTCTCTAGCCCAATTTGAAAGAAGAGGGAAGGTGATACAGAGGGTTATACATGTACAAACCATCCTGTAGAAAACCTACTGACATTCCAAAGGAATAGGTTCAAGGAAAATAGATTTTTCTGTAATCATTTTAGGACGAATAATGTCTCCTATTTTTTTAAAAAATGAGGACTGCGTGTTTCAAACATGTAAGTAAGGCATTTAGTTAAGACAGAATTCCCCATATTTTCACAATAAAAATGTTTTTGTCCTGCAATTACTAATCTAATGAAATACAAACTCTCTCCCATTCAGTTGTGGGAACACACAAAATCGAAGATGGCATGTTAGTCTCTAATACTACAGGAACATTTGCACACCGTGACATCAGTGCAGAATATCAGGAAGATGGCCAATATCAAGAACTCGGGTATGGAAGTTTCATTTTCATCTCTTGTCCAGTCACTGTGATGTTTGCCACCTCTATAGCCCTTTCACGATGGCTCATCTGCTTTTCTGCTTTCAGGTACTGGGATGCAAAGGTTCTTCTTAACATCTCTAGCCCAACACTGACTGATGTCCATCTGCGCTACGAAGACGGTGAGAACCACCTCTCCTCCTCGGTAGCCTCCCCAGCCATAGGCACCGTGGGCATCGACTTGGAAGATAACGATACCTTGTGGAAACTGAACCTCTACTACCAACCTCAGGTGAGTCCCATCTAAGGGGCCACACGCCCCAAGAGCAAGTAGAGAATATGGGCAGATAAATTTAAGTCAGTACAAAGCGTTAGCTTGGGGCTTTCCCGAACTAGGTAAAACACAAGCAGTGAGCAAACTGAACTTCTTTTGTGGGGAACTATTGTCCAGAAAGTATTGGGAGTCTTTTATTGATTTTATTAGATGCACACATGACCTCATATTAGCACTATTATTTTATTACATTTGGGCAAACCTAGAAAGATGAGGATTATGCCTCATCACCCAAATCATGGACATACTCTGCCATATGCTGAGTACAATTTTCAGATCATGGTTTCTGGAGTATTGGAAGCTTAAAAATTCTCCTCCACAATAGTTAGGTGAGATATGCCAAATTTCTCTCATGTACTTCATAAGCTCTGCCAGGGTCGCATTAACGATGCTTTAGGAGAGGAGAAGAAATAATCAGGTTCTATTCCTGAAGTTTGTCATAGGCTTGGAGGATGGATGGCTTGTGATACTGATCTTCTAAGTCTCTGCTACATGGGCTCTGGACTTTTTTCTTTTTTTGCTACTTCTCCTTTCTCTAAATTAGTCTTTTCCTGTGTCTTTCTTCCCTTCTCTTCCCCCTTCTCTTCCTCCTCTTCTAATCTTCAGTCCTAGAAAGGCCTTAATGTTAAACTCTGTAAGTGCTTTGCATAATGTTATCCTTTCTGGGGCATATGTTAAAGAGGAATTAACAAGAGTGGATTTGCTGAACCATAAGACAAACACATGAAAGATAAATCCCCATCAGGATATGAATGATCCTCTGGTCTTTACTTTTAACTGCTAATGAAGTTTTAGTGTAGTCTATTATGTAATCAAGATAATTGAAAATATGTTCTTTTCATCCTTGTTTGCTGGCTTTAGTCCTCTCCAGATAAAAGATTCAACATATTCAAAATTGAGATGAGGGATGAGGAATCAGATGAGGAATTTCAGATCAAAGTTAACTGGGAAGAAGCAGCAGTGTCCGAATTGCTAAGCTCTCTCAAGGACAGTGTGCCCAAGGCCACAGGGGCCTTTTATGACTATGTCAACAAGTACCACCGGGAGTACACAGGACTTGATCTGAAAGATGCTTCTTTAAAACTGAGAAGAAGTTTGCAGAGCAGCGCTGATCAGGCCTATCAAGAGGCTGTGAGGCAGACAGATGAGGTGGACATGAGGCTCCAAAGGCTAGCCAGAGGCACCACTAAAACCTACCAGCAGTGGAAGGACAAGGCCCAGAGTCTGTACCAGGAACTGTTGGCTCAGGAGGACCAAGGTGACTTCCAGAGACTCCAGAATAGGGTGTTTGACAGCTTAATAGGAGTTGCTCAGGAATCTAATGTGACAGTCAAGCGTGTGACTGACTCATTCATTGATTTCCTGAAGTTCATCAGATTCCAGCTCCCAGGAAGAGCTGAGGACTACACTGGAGATGAACTGTGCAGTATGGTCATCATGGAAGTAGGAAAGGTACTGTCCCAGGTACATTCAAAAATCCAGAGTGGGTTAGAAATACTGTTTTCCTATTTCCAAGACCTGATGCAGAAATCTGAATTAATCAAGGACCAAAAGATTACATTTCCTTTTGGTTCAATGATTTATCAACTGATAGATTTAATCTCGGAGTATGGGAAGCTGCTGAAACTTTTATCAGAAGAGGTCCAAAAGGCATTTAGTGACCTCCAGTCTGTCAAGATTACAGAGCTGCTAAGTGATCTTCAGAGATTTTTACAAAGCATTTTCCAAGAGATAGAAGAAGAACTTCAACACTTAAAGGAGAAATTTCCTTATCTCATTAATGATACCCAAGACAAGACCAACACAACCTTCAACATACATATTCCATTTGCTTTTAGACTCCTGAAAGAATACCCAGACCTTAACTTTGGTGATTTTAATGAACTTGTTCAAAACACACTTCAGGAAGCTTTTCAAGAGTTACAGCAGCTTCATCAGTACATAAAGGATCTTCGCAAAGAATATTTTGATCCAAGTATGGTTGGCTGGACAGTGAAATATTATGAACTTGAAGAAAAGATTATCAGCCTGATCAAGTACCTAGTAGGTGTCCTTAAGGATTTGCATTCCATATGCACTGTCGGTGCTGCTCAGCTCTCACGTCAAGTTGAGCGATTTGTGCAGGAAGATATCCAGGAACATCTTAGCATCCTTGCCGATGCAGATGGAAAAGGGAAAGAGAAGATTGCAGAGCTTTCTACTAGTGCTCAGGAAATAATTAAAAGCTGGGCTGTTGCAATGAAGGAAATCATTTCTGATTACCACCAGCAGTTCACATATAAACTACAGAATTTTTCAGACTACCTCTCTGATTACTATGAAAAATTCATTGCTGAGTCTAAAAGATTGATTGACCTGTCCATTCAAAAATACCACGTGTTTCTGAGATGTATCATGGATTTACTAAAAAAGCTACAATCGGCCACAGAAGATAACATAAGCCCCTACATAAAGGTTGCTCCAGGAGGATTTACTATCACCTTCTAATTTTTTATAGCAATTCTCATTTATTCTTCTGCTCCTATTAAGTTTTCACACGGTAGGGGAAAAATTCAAACTGTATGTATTAATATAACCATACAGCAAGCCAGCCCTGTATCAGAAGCACATATGAACTGAACCTGCTGGCATCAGAGCTCTGGAGGGCTCTGGACTCTGGGAAATGACATTTTTTTGCAAGTTAAAGAAAAACCAACGTCTGAGTTATTTTGCTAAACTTCGGGAGAGTGAGAACAAATAAATAAATTCTTTATGGTGTATCATACCACTCAGTGTGACTCATTCATATTGAAAGATAGCAAAATGAGAGTATTTATTCAAAAGTCTGACATTTCAAAACCTCTAGAGGAACACACAGTCTTTTGATAGAGTAAATGGGGAAAGGGAGAGTTTGAGGAGGGGAAATATTTTGCCACCTGAAAAAAAGTAACTGATCTCAGGGATTATATTTGCCAAGTGAGAATGGAAAACTGTTTGCAAGGCTTTCACAGAATTTGATCCACCGGAGCATCTCATTTTATGCCACCAGTTCTTCCTCACCAACCAGTCTGCCTTTGCCAGGCAGGGTTCTCCGCTAGGCTGCGAGATAAACCAATAAGACTTTTATTTCACTCACCTGCCAAGAGTGAAGAAGGAATGACTGAGAAGTCCTAGCCCCACAGGCTTCATGGCAGAAGGGATCCCAGAAGGCTCCCTGCAGCTCAGCCAGAATCCATTCAAGGCAAAGGAGGTAAGGGTGGGAGAGGAGGCGTGGGACGTATGTTCCTAACGTTTCTGGGACCAAGCATGCATTTATGCTCTTGAATCTTTATTTCTCCAAACTTAATGTGCAACCATCCTAAGTGTAATCAAAACCCAAAGGTTTCCCCTGCCATACCCACTCACCTCAAATTCTGATTTTAAACACTGGCAACACCCAGTCAGAACATCCAAGATGCGCTCTGGTAAGGGAAGGCTGCCAAGAAGCTGTGCAGCCCAGCTGTCACTAATACCATCGGGAAGTTAGCTTTCCCACTTTGATATCAGTGGCACTGGAGGACAAAGGAGGGTTGTAACCTTTGGGGAATAGGAAATTGGAGATCCACCCACCCAAGTCCTACATGAGGCCTGTTTTGGAAAAGGCCCCTTTTATCCAAAAATACCTTCAACCACCACCTTTCTTTCATAAGGCCTTCACATTTCCTTGATGACGTCCACTCAAATGTACAAGCATTACCCAGAAAGAAAACACATTAGCCTGTTGCTACCTTAGCAGGATTCTTCTGTCTGGAACTGAGGAGCCAGAAAGAGTCATAAGGAGGTGGAATACATGGTAGTGTATGGATCTGGTACTCAAGAGTCTTTTAGCAGATGGATGGATGGATAGTTGAGTGAATGAATGAGTAAATGAAGGGTCACATCTGAGAGTGAGAGAAAGGGGACAGTGAGGCCCAGGTCCCAGAGCATCACATGAGCAATCCCAGGCATAGCTCTACGAGACTCCCTGATGAGCTGTGAGCAGCAAGAATCTACTGAGTGTTCACACTGAAAGGAGGCCTGGAGTTATGGCTTAATTTGGAGGGAAAGGAGAAGTCCAAGATTCCTGGTGCTCATGTGATGATCAACTTGTGTCTGGGGCATGAGAAGAGGAAAAAAGTAGATACAAATTGAAAATGGTCACATAATCACCCAGTTCCCTGACTGACATCCCTTATGTGAGGTGCCCCTGGCTGGCCTAGAATATCTTCATCATGCTCAATAAAGTTAGAAGGGATTCTCAGGAGGACTTGGACTTTGCTTGCCCTCCTCCTTGGTCTTCCCTGCATATCAGGATGCTTCTCTGGGTTCCATTAATGGCTACATTCCCTACTATCTTGTTGCTTTGGGCAAGTTATTTTCCCCCTGTGAGCTTCAGTTTTCTTATCTACAAAATGAGGATAATCTCTCTCCTGCCTGCCTTGAAAGGCTATTCATGAAAATCAGTTGAAATAATGCATATGAAAGTTTTATAACCTTTAATGTTGTATAGAAACAAAGTGCCATTATTATTAGATTATTATTTAAATGAGTTAACGGCAAGGAGAGAGAATGGAGGCAAGGAGACTGAGCCAGTTTAGTGAATATTTATTAGGTGCTTCTATGGGCTAAGCCCAAAGGCTCTACAGAGGAGACAAAGTTCAGTAAGATGCAGTTCCTGGATGTCTGTCTGTCCAACTGTTTATCAGAAGTGGAATGTGTTGTCTCATGATGAGTATAAACAAAGTACTATGAGAGTTTATAACAGGAAAGGATGAGAATCAAGAAGTTTTCATGGAGATGACTGGGACATTGTGCTGTACACCAGAAACTGACACATTGTAACTGACTGTACTTCAATAAAAATTTTTAAAGTTTTCATGGAGAAAGTTTAAATGGATAAGGGAGAAAGGGCATTGCAGAAGAAGAGCGTCAGCAAAGAAAGATAGGTTCAAAGCGACCAGAGCACAAGAAAAGTCGAGGTGAGACAGGACTGGAAAAGCAAGTTGCCATTATTGCAGAGGTCCTGAAAGCTGGAACGAAAGGGTGATACTCTCTTTGCTGGAGAGGGCATCCAATGAAGATTTTTGAGCAGGAGGGTGTTTTGATTTGTGATTTAAGAAAACTGATATGGCAGCTTCTGCAGGATGAATTTGTAGTGGGATGAATCTGGATATGAGAATATGCCAAGGTCCAAGTAAAAGATGCTAAGCACCCCAGCCAAGTCATTGATGTTGGGAGTGGTGAGGAGGAGTTGGTTACAAGAAGCATCATGAAGGCATAATTGACAGGGCTGGAGGGCTGATGGCTTAGAACAGAAGGGATGGGTGCCAAAGCTATTAGAAGAGCTGGAGCTGCCTTGGTAATTCACTGGAGTGGAAAATTGGAGAGGTTGCTGGAGTAACCCAAAGAACAAGGAAGAAGAATGAGTAAAGCCGACTTCAGAGTTATGAAATTTTGAACCTGCATAACTTGAAGACCTATCGGGCATCAGTGTGTTGGGGGGACATTATTAATATAAGGCATGGACTCATAGACAGTCACAGCTGGAAAAGGACCATGCAATCACACGGGGAATTTCAAATTACAGTGCTGTGTCCAAGCAGAAATATCTAGCAGGCTATTAAATTGGAGATGTGGGCTAGAGAAAAAATAGCCACAAGAATAGGGACAAAGGAGAATTTTAACCAATTGTATTGACTTTATGTCCTTATACATATCTTTAGGAACATAACAAGAAAACACAGTTTTTCCTCTTCTACAATTAATTGGCCTATTGACCTGAGAGTGAGCCAACATGTACACGTCCTAAGGACATCCTGTGAGATGATGTGAAAGTACTACTATAAACACAGATATTGCTCCCGTAAAACAAATATCCAAACTTTAAAACCAAAGAAGTGAAATAATGGTGCCCAGCCCAGGTCCTTGGATCTTTGGAAGCGTGAGCAAGCTGTGTGCTTTGGTTTGACTCCCAGGTCCTGCCTTAGACTAGTGATGCTGTCCACAGAATAAACCTTACAAGGTAAGTGAGTCCACGAGAGTGGGCACCACCAGGTGCATCTGGAAGAGCTCCCTCCATTCTCTTCACTCTTCACTTGAAGGCTGGTCATTTGAGGAACCCATCTGCTCTTTATTGGTGAGATGAGCAAAGCCCCCTCTGATTTCTTATTCTAGGTCCCTCTTCTGGCTCTAATTTATGACTTAGTCCCCATTCAGTCAGAGAAGGGGCCAAGCTGGCCTTCAAATGGGGCCTGTAACATGGGAGCCAGAGTAGACAAACAGATGTTCCCTCTAAAAGTGTCTAATAACCAGAGATAAATGTGCAGAAACAGACCCTACCTCTTAGCTCATCTCCTTGTCTTGCTGTTTCACATTAAGAGGTCAGCTGCAACTCCCTTCAAGCACTCCATTTGTTGGTGGGATGGTTGGGTGGTCACCAACAAATAACATTCCAGGGCCTCATAAAAGTTGGTGGAGTAGGTACACATGTTTCTAGGAGGAGAGGGTCCTGGCCTTCTCCCCACCATAGAAACTGGCTTACACCTCCTTTGAGTCTGAGCGGTGCTCGGGTCAGTGATACCCAGGGCACAAGGCACTAAGTTATGACCCTTGAGTAAATTTCACCCCCCAACTAGCACCACCAAGGCCCAGTTTCAAGTGAAAGGGACAACTCAGGCCTTGGAGGTGGCCTGGTCTGTGAACTGAAGACTCGTGTCCCCACCCTTGTTTCTAAGCTCTGGTGGCCATTCCATGCTGCATGAGTACCTGGCCACACGGAGCAGAGGCATCCATAGTTTAGATTCTAGGCTAGAGAGTAGCCTGAGGAAAGGGCAGCATGGTCAACAACCCAGCCCCCCAGTTCTCCCTGGCTCCTCAGGTGAACTCTCCACTCCTTTCTTCTCCTCCATCAAGCAGGTCCCACTTATGCTGGCACGCAGTTCCCTATAGAGCAATGAGGCCCAACACAGCTCTGGGAGTCTTGTACCAGGACTGGGCTAGGTTGGTTGGAGCCAGGGTGATTAGAACACTCCTGGAATTACATGATGCATTGGAAGTTCACAGAAAGGACAGTAGAAAAGAGGGCAGAGTACTGCCTGTAATTCTGGTGAGCTGAGGTCAGGAAGCCTGGGGCGGCCACTATTTCCCACTTCTCAAAGAAGGCCTAAGTTCTGGGGCCAAATTCAGGCTTCACCATTCATGATTTATGTAATCTCAGGAAGGTTACTTGATCTTTCTAGTTTCGTCTTTAAAATGGGAATCACAAAAGAAGAACAGATTGAAGCACTCTGAACAGGAACAGAGAGGGGTTCCTTCTCACATTACGGGGTTGTAATCAAGATAAAATAAAATCCTCTTCTTTTCCATTTTAGGTTATAACACAACATTATAAATCAACTATACTTCAATTTTTTTAAAATACCCACACAGCCCCCACCCCCAAAAGGATAAAATGAAATCATGGATGTAGTACCTTGCACACAGAGTGGATAAACTGATTACATCATACTGATAGAAGTTAAAAGGAATGAAGTATAATTACAATTAACACACAATTATTTAGAGAAATTTTACAAACATAAATGGCGTAAGAAGGTAAGTCCCAGATTAAACACAGCATGGTACCCTTTTGATAGAGTTACAATCAACTAAAATCAAACAATTTATTTTCTGGAATGATAGTTTTAAAGAAAAGGAATGATAAACTCAGGATTCTGACTTGGTTACATCTGGTGGAGAGAGGCAGAGGAAAGGATGGTTGT